TTTCACTTAGGGGCGGTCGGGTAGCCTGGTGGTTAAAGCGTTCGCTCGTCACGCCGAAGACATGGGTTCGATTCCCGACATGGATACAATGTGTGAAGCCATTTCTGGTGTCCCCCGCCGTGATATTGCTGGAATATTGCTAAAGGCGGCGTAAAATCATACTCACTCACTCATGTTCCATATTCATCAGAAATAACTGCTAAAAGCAGTGTTGATTGTACAATTCCGACTATATCGTGAGCATGAGTTTATGAATCACTATCAAATAGTGATGAAACCAGGTGTTCGCGAAAAGGTGAGTGTATCCTGACCCACCGGTGGCACCCGTCACAAACACATGTAAAGCCAAGTCAATTGTTCACAGCAAAAACATGTGAACATATTGTTCTAGTCAAATAGAGAATTGTAACGGACACCATCATTTTGTCACTGATGCGTAAAACACGTGAAATGGGTCAGTATCACCTGGCTAAACACACACTCACAATAATCAAAACACGTTTAGATTTCAAACAGTCTGAGGACAAATTAATTTGATATTGAGTTCAATTTGTATGAGGATAATAAAATTTAAATATATCAGAATATATCAGTATTATGTTCGACGATGATCGTTATGATGATCATCAAGATATGGTTATTATTTAAGTGTGTATTTTGGCAATCATACTTTTATTGAAGTTAATGCTGTCCATGATACCACAATTTAGCTGTTTCATTTTGGTGATGGCAGACTGATTGAGTACCTTTACGTCATAAGAGGTGCATCTAAAAGGATGGATATATCGCAGATGGGTGAGTGGGTGAAATGGGGTTCATTGCACTTATATAGCGACGTGCATGTACGTCTGTGTGTGTGTGGCTGCTTGAACTAGTCCGGACTGATGCCGATTTATAGTGCTAGCTCACTGAGATACCATGCCGCAGTTTAACATGAATACCCCACTCAGACACAGTACACTGACTCCGAGCCGACCAGTCCTTGTTTTAGCCCCTTAATGCCGAGCGCCAGGCAGGGTAACAACAAGTACCATCTTTTAACGTCTTTTGGTATGACGCAGCCTGGGATCGAACCCCGGACCTTCCGCTCTCCGGGTGGACGCTCTACCACTAGACCGACACAAAGGCGGTCGGATATATCGAAGAAGGTACGGACTAGATGAGTGAAAAACGCCAACAGATCATCCTTAAGCATTACGGTTTTATTTTCGGTTTACTGAGGCCATTCTGAGCACTTGCTATGGCAACAAATTCAGACACCTTTATCTCAGGTTACAAAATAACGCCGTGAAGCATAAAAAGGTAAGATTGAGACCTAATAGCAGCATTCCGAGAGTTACCCAATCCAGGAAATATCCCCCAAAGCCACATTGTCAATCGCGTTTATTGTTTTTCAATCCGAATAAGCTCTGAAATGAACAAAAGTGGTCCTCCGGAAGAGGTTGTGAAGGTTTTAAAGCAGAAAAAATACTTTCTGTGAACATCGTCAAAAATGTTTCGATCAAGTCACTGGATCTAGTTTCTCTTTCTACATTAAAATACGAATTCTCTGAGTAGCCTTGGTTTGTATTTTATATCATATGCAGCAGCATGAAAGAGCCACGGACGGTAGAGGAAGACTAATTGGACCTGGCACAATATGACTTAAATCCTTCAGTGTGTATGATGTCCCATTGAAATATACTTCTTTTGGTTTGTTTAGATCTTATATTATAGCAAAGCAACTCCCCCAACAATCTAATAATAAACATAACTATTTTTGTTGCTTTTGTTCTTAGTACAAGAGGTTAGTTGTTAAATAAGGCGGCAAATGCAATGGTATACTATAAGCACTTGACAACTTGTTCTATTAATAATAAAGTAACAAAACCCTTTCCATATCCAAAAGAAATCTCTGCAAAAGGCAGAGTCGAGTGTACAATTCCGACTATATCATGTGTTTATGAATCACTATCAAATAGTAATGATACCAGGTGTTCGCGAAAAAGTGAGCGTATCCTGACCCACCGGTGGCATCCGTCACAAACACATACAATGGCAAGTCAATTTTCACCTGAAAAAAACTTGGGAATATATGACACAAGTCAATATAGGGAAATCGCATTTGACATTACTTTTGTCACCGATATACAGTGATATATGGTTCTTAAGCCGCTTATAACAATAGTCCGGCAAAATTTCGGCGGGGGACACCAGAAATGGGCTCCACACATCGTACCCATGGCACTGATATACATTGTACATGTTTGTAACATGTGCGTTAAGATTCTATACACGAACCTAAGCACTTTCCTTGTACAATAATTTTAACGCGTTGAAAGCTTAGAAATGTTTAGATCCTGAACACTTAAACATGTTTAGGCCTTAAAACGCGTTAAAATTATGGGACAAGGAAAGTGCTCAGGATTGAAACCCATTTTGTGTAGTGTACCGCAATATGTGTTGTGATTACATCATTCCTGTTTCAGAGGAACGACAATGGTATCAGCGTATCATATATCAACGTGTTAATTCATTACTGTGAATGATGCGTACCCTCGACCTGAGATCCTCATTGACAAAGGTTAATGGTATATGCCATGTGCTAGGGGATAGACGTCAGGCAGCCCACGCTAAACTGCTAGTAAAAGATACTAGATACACGTCGTAAAAGTATTTTCGAGTCTTAATTCGACATGTATATATGTATTTTCATATGGCTTTCAAAATGAGATGAAAGTCAAAAACAGTTAAACTGATGTTAAATATTTGTTTAAGAAATGTATGCTTCATTCAATTGTTAATCAAGACTTTGTCGTGTCCCCCGATTTCGATGTACTTTGAGTTTTAGTATGAAACATTAACACTTATTTGGTACATAAACTTTAAAATTATTATAAGAGGACATATATGTATAGCATAAACATGTCACAAATCTAAGCAATTTTTAATGGTTATTCACATAAGACGATGTTAAAGATATGTTGTAATCATGATCCCAAAAAAAACAAACTGACATTACGAAGTAGTAATATTTCCAATAAGTGAGTGAGTGAGTATGGCTTTACCTAGGTCATCGGGAATTATCTATAAGATATTTACTTTCGAGCAATTTCAGACATATATTGAGGTAGCCGATTTTCCAAATTATAACACTTTTCTATGAACCACTTAAAAATGAAAGTAACCATGAACTGAACTGCAAAATTTGGTTTGGTAGGTTTTTCACTTAAAACAGAATCTCATACTATAAACATTGTGAAAAAAGTAATGTTTATCTCAAAAGATTGTATGTAGTTGGGACGGCCTCCGTGGTCTAGCGGTAGAGCGTCCGCCCGGAGAGCGGAAGGTCCGGGGCATTAAGGGGCTTAAACAAGGACTGGTCGGCACTGAGTCAGTATACTGTGACTGAGCAGGCTATTCATGTTAATCTGCGGTATGGTATCTCATTAGGCTAGTGCTATAAATCGGCATCAGTCCGGACAAGTCCAAACACACACACACACACGCGCGCGCGCGCGCACGCACGCACGCACGCACGCACGCACGCTATATATAAGTGCAATAATCTTGGACGCGACGTTAAACCCCATTTCACCTAACCTCACCTCACCGTATATAATCCTGAAAGTACCGAAGCTAGGGGGCCAACCATGCGATTTTCTAGGGATAGGGAAGGCCTGGGAGTTTATCGCAAAAATATATTGTCCCCGAAAATACTTGCAAAAACTAATTATGCTTTAGGATAGGAAACAACCGACATTGCCTCCCACAAAAATATATCATTGCAAAGGGTTTTTCTAAATATTTCGGATCATATTTTTAATTAAACTTTTATCAGGTTTTGCAGCTGAAGCTGAATACATCTAGTCTCCTACAAAATCCTAGGCCCCTTCCAGAACAGCAAATTGTTCGGTCCCTTGTGTCCCGGACAGGCAACCAGGACCATACAGCAATTGTCATAGAAGAGATAAACAACACTATTTTCATAGTTTTTGTAGCCGGGGAAGGGTGTGGCAGCCAAATAGAAACGACAAAACCATAATTATAAGGAATCGTTGCTGATCATGAAAGCAGAGTCGATTGTACGATTCCAAGCACATGAGCATATGTTTATAAATATCTAAAAAAAAAAGTATTTAATAGTGATGAGACCAGGTGTGAGCGAAAAGTTGGGCGATCTTGCCCCACCTGTGGCATCCGTCACAATACATGCAAAGACAAGTCAATTGTTCACCTACAAAATCACGGGAACATATAGTACAAGACAAAATAGGAAATTGCATCGGACATCACATTTGTCACTGTTGCGTCAAATTTGAAAGTGTGTCCACCTTTTGAAAGCTTTACTAAGGACTCGCACGTCATCACCCTGACCAGACACCTTTTGAGCAAGTGAAGTATGATACTAATTGAAATCTTCTCAGAAAGAGCATGCTCGATTGAAACTTGAAAGTTGTAACATGTAGACACCAAAGACTGTAGTTGTTGATGTATTTCTCGACATAAAGGGAAAGTTGTCTGTTGGAAAGTTGAAATCATCTTTGTCGATATTGTTTTGTCACTCAAGATTTTTATGCATAGATCTAAATGTTGAAATGTTGAGCGATTGTACCGGGAACTGGCCATTTAATCATTATTGAACCACCTCATATCATCGGTTTATCTTAAGATAAATAACCTTCTTGGCCAAATTCCCTTGTTTTCATTTTGAATATGACATTTTCCGTGAATTTGATAATCCTTAGGAGAAAGACACACGACACTTTGATATTTCATATATGAACGAAGTTTCAAAGAGTTAAGTTACATAGCATGATATGTTGTAGAAAGTCTAACTGAAACACAAATATCTGACGCTCAGCTTTTCGGTGAAACCACCGACAGCGGATATAAACGTACCCTACAAAAAAACACAATGTGTAAATAAACATCTGGAAGGCAATGTACATGGGAATATGATTATAGAAAATGTATAATTTAAAAAAAATGAACTTCAAAAGTTTCAGTTTTCTACAAACCTTGATAACGTTTGACTGGGTTGTCTCCTACGGGAAAGGCAGACGCAATAACGCACACACAGGCAAGGATTACACAGATTCTGATAGGTTTAACCATCCCGTGGTTGACGGGTGTTGGCCGGGCTGTCCTGTATACAACCCGCATGCCCAGCCTCCTCTCGCCGCCGTACTTTGCTAGTGGACGACCTCTCCTCACTGCGTCTATTTATCAATTCATATATGTGTAGGTGCGGTGACGCGCCACATACACTACATCCTTCACACGCGTCGTACACTACTACCGCTTTCAACCAAGCAACGGCCTGTCTGTTCTTATGGTAACGTAGTTTTAAAATGCATGTGATAGGATGTCAACAAAACGGCCGCGCCTATCTCTAGCAGACAATTGTCGACTTACAATTGTTCCGCTATTGTCACGATTCCAGCAAAGCGCATTGGAGAATTGAGAGCTCTTAGGCGCGGGGGTTGTTTCTATTGTGAGGCAGTGGCTTCAAGGCGGTAATCAATCGCGCTCTTAATATATCTGATATCCTTTTACGAAGGATGTCGGTAGATAACGAGGCTGGACGAGAACTTTGGTATAGTATTGCATTTTTCGGATTCAAGCCGGATTGATCTAAGCGGGATAACATGTAGTAAATAAACGGGCACGATTCCGAGTTTTGTCTTTGGGTATGAATAATGCGTCGATAAGTGGCAGTTTGTCTCACGTCTTCTTCCTTTGAAATCGCCATCGGGAATATGTACATTGTGTTCAAAAGTTAATAAACCGATAATAAACATTCTTCAGAAACGTATTTTTAGAAAAGCCAGACATAAAGATCTTTGTTATGCTTCGGATATAACTTTTCTCCGCTTTCGTAAATCCACAAATAAACTTTGGTGTCTGTTTTTGGTAGAATGGATTTGTTAACAAAACTCAGATAGTGTTTTAGGAGCAAATGACCCTAATTCATTCAACATAAATTCAACATCAATATCAGTCGCGTGGAAATCTGTATAACCTTTCAAATGACTTCAAGTGCATACGGTAGAAGTTGATGACCAACAACAGTACGCATGCAGAAGCACCAAACAGTGTTGTTTCTTCAACCCACTTGGTCACCCCGAGGAACATGGCAACAACAGCTTTTCTTCCAAGTACTACGACAAACAACACCCACTCTGTAACCAGCCTCCTGGGGATTCCTGGAGAGAATAGTTCGCAGCAAGCTATGAATATTATGTATTTATTGACTCAAAAGTTTTCTGGTTTTGTTGTAAAAGGCATTTATTTTGTATGTTGAATATTTATTTTCGTGAAAAGGGTATTTTAGTCACAGATAACAACTCCATAAATATATCACTTTCACACACCATTCAATCGAATTAATCCTTCAGTTAAAATTAAGAGAAAAATACGAGGACTGGTCAAAACGTTTTAAGCCTTACTGTCAACTAGGGGCCATTACAAAGTAAACTAGTTAATGTAGCACTTTGTTTGAGTAGTTCACTGCAAGTGTATTTGGCTTGTTGAGGCCGTTTGTATATTGGTGACAACAAGTTGAACGTGATAGGGATCCAAACGAGTCAAGTTTTTTACTTCAGAGAAAAGTACACCCCAAGAAATTCATGACCGCATGTCACAAGTGTATAGGGATAAGTGCCCTAGCTGTTCCACTGTTAAACGTTGGGCAGCTATATTTAACTTCTTTGAGTGGCATTTAGAAGTGGGAATGGTAACTAAGACAAAATTGTTATGGATGAGCAACTTCTTTATTACAATTGGGCGACGTTTCGGTGTAGATTCTAACACCGTTATCAAGCAAATGATACATTTGCTTGATAACGGTGTTAGAATCTACACCGAAACGTACTTTTGCTTGATAACGGTATGAGAATCTACACCGAAACGTCGACCAATTGTAATAAAGAAGTTGCTCATCCATAACAATTTTGTCTTAGCTATATTTAAGGCTGGGATAACAAGCCTTGATGGTGACCCTAGGTGTAGACGGCCTTTAACTTTCATCGACGAAGATTCAATCAAGGTTCAAAATTATACTGTCAGATAGACGTATTACCATTGCCGAACTTGAGGAAGACACAGGTCTAAGCCAATGGATCCACTGAAACTATTTTTCATGAACATTTACAGATGAATAAGATGTCTGCTCGTTGGGTGCCAAAGTTTCTAAATTCTGATTCTGACATTGCCAGAGAAAAGTTAGAGCTAATTGAGGAGGAGTTCGTCAAATTCAAAAGAAGATCAGTAAGGGGTGATGAAACATGGGTCCACACTGTGATCCCGAGTCAAAACGTCAATCCATGGAATGGCACCATTCCACTCTCCGACACACAGATTATTAGCTGAGTTTTCTGATCCTAGAACTAACACACTCAAGAGTGAATTATCCTAAGATCACTCCCCTCCCAGGATCAAAACATTCCCATCAAGATGTAATCCATCCTCCTCATGAACAAATCACTCCCCCCAAGACAGAATGCAAAATACATGTTTATTTATTGTCCTGCTAGAACGTCCAGAGTAGTAGTGGACGATCTGCAGCCTAGCGTTGTTGTGGTGTGCATCTGTACTGCACATTTCTTTTGATAAGGCACGGAAGAACCAGTTGCTGCAAATACCTGGTAAGCCAATACCCCACACCCAATTGTCTTAGTTGGTTAGGTTGTTCAGTGGAGTGGGAATAATTACTGCCATGACATTAATATTGACCTTTGTAACAGTCGTGAAGATTCCGGGGGTAGAATAGGTCTTCAGCAACCCATGCTTGCCGTAAAAGGTGACTATGCTTGTCGTAAAAGGCGACTAACGGTATCGGGTGGTCAGGCTCGCTGACTTGGTTGATACATGTCATCGATCCCAAGTGCGTGGATCGATGCTCATGATATTAATCACTGGATTGTCTGGTCCAGACTCGATTATTGACAGACCGCCGTCATATAGCTGGAATATTGCTGAGTGCGGCGTTAAACAACCAACCAACCAACCAACTTTGTAACAGTTTAGAAATGGTGGTCCTGTTGGGAGAGTGGGATCACTGGCTTTGCTTATACTTCAAGGACAGGTGTAACACTATGGGGTAATGTGATGTAGGATGTTTGTTCAGTCCTTTTGAGTACGATACACACAAGTGTTTCACTCGCTTCTTGTGGCCCTCTGGCCTCGTGTCATGAGGGCATCATTAAGAATCTGGCCTGGTTTGCTGCGTGTCGAGGACGCTTGTTCCACCATGTTGGTGATGGTCTCGGTGGCGACTATAGTTTGTACTGATCCACATTTGTTTCTCGGATTTTGGGATTATTCTGCCCTGGTGTCGCCAAGGGAAAGGAAATTCTGAGTATTCTTTATCGTAAATATCATATGTTAGGAATTAAAGTAGTATAATGCGGGTCTTTGAATAATACAATTTCAGGAAACCGGCCTATTTGATGCATAGTTCCAAATGATGTATGGATATTACAGTTCCTGCCTTGAAACCCATTTATGAATTTTATGATAGACGTGTACCTATACTGGTAAAACGTGTGAGCAAATAATTGTATCTAAACTAAGTAAAGTACGTCAAAAAAGACAAGTGCATGAGATAATGATCGGGCAAATATGGGATTCGAACCCTTATCAGCGGATCAATCTTACAGCTAAGGGGTGTTTTTGGTTAAAGAATACATATCAATTTCTTGACAGATGCACTTTTTGTTTAACCATCGGGAACGACAGAATGTATTTGGCACCCATCATGCATAAAAAACTTGTTTTAGCTTCTCATTTTGGAGGCATTTGACCCCAAGGCAATGTTCCTGTTTCACTATAAACCAAAGTGCAACCAGTCATCACTTACATGCCATTCTGCATTCTCACTTGTACGCAACTCACTGACACTGAAGATGGTACTTGTTGTTACCCTGTCTGGCGCTCGGGATTAAGAGGCTAAAGCAAGGGCATGTCGGCTCGGAGTGAGGTATACATGTTAAACAGTATGGTATCTCGTTGGGCTAGCACTGTAAAGTCGATATTAGCCTGGAGTAGTACAAGCACAAGCACACACACACACGCACGCACGCACGCACACACAATCACGTCGCTATATAAGTTATTTTAGTGCAATAATCTTGGACGCGGCGCTAAATCTAATTTCACCTCAGCTCACCTCATTGAGATGGAGCACAAGGCGCGCCCGTATTTCAAAGGCTGTCTCGTCTCGAAATGAATGTGAGGATAGCTTACTGTACTACATTGGTTCGACTCCCACTGATAAACGCCCCCTCACCCCTGGTCTTTCTATCAATGTCCCCTGAGTCATTCGAACCCCAATACATTAACAGGGACCCGAAGACTGATTGCTTCCAGTAGTCTCCAGAATCAGGACACAGAAATAAAGACGGTGGTCACTATGCCACCAGGGGGCGATGGCCATTATGTCTGCCCAATTTATTTCCCCGCCCCTTGACCCGCATGCGCAAAGGTATATTCCGGCTGCAAACTACTTCCTCCATGACGCCCCGTTTGAATAATAGATATATTTCCATAAAGGATCCATTTATCAACAAGCTTTGATGAATGCAACGGAATTACATCCTCGCGCAGGAATATATCTAAGCGTGGCCATAAGAATTTGCGAATCTTGTGGAGGTGCCACTTGTCGTTATTATTACGCGATATTTGACTCATATCGCCCGTTGTATCGCATCCACATTCCACACAATCAGTACACCAGTCCGACAGAAGCTCACCCACTTTGTAAGTTACTGTTTTCAGAAACCGCCAAAGCAATTCAAAGGCGCATAGTGAATAAACCGTCATTGGATTACCACTTTTTGAGCTAAATGTTTTAATGTATGTACAGGTTGTGATATATGTAAAGATATACATTTTGTTTCAAAAATGACAGGATAGGATTTATCATCAGTTTCCTAACTACAGTTATAGCATACATTCCGACACCTCTGTCCACACTGAAACGTGCTTGTCGTAAAAGGCAACTATGCTTGTCGTAAGAGGGGACTAACGGGATCAGGTGGTCAGGCTCGCTGACTTGGTTGATGCATGTCATCGTATCCCAATTACGTAGATCGATGCCCATCATGTCAAACACTGGATTGTCTGGTCCAGACTCGATTATTTACACACCGCCGTCATATAGCTGGAATATATTTTAAACAACAAACAATCAAATAATTCTAGATTTATCAGCACCATACCCGTGCTCGTGGGTTAACGTCTTAGACCGTGATATAACTGGAACATTGTTAAAAGCAGCGTTAAACTCAACTCACTCACTCACTCACGCACTCATTCTCTCGTCGTTCTTAAAGTCATTGCAGAAATGTTGAGATATATTGTTTTCACATGCAACTAAACAAGTCTAAAGGGAA